GAACAAATCTTCACACACAGGTAAACCTTTATACTTAGGATCAAATCTTCACACAGATGTAAACCTTTATACTTAGGAACAAATCTTCACACACAGGTAAACCTTTATACTTAGGAACAAATCTTCACACACAGGTAAACCTTTATACTTAGGAACAAATCTTCACACACAGGTAAACCTTTATACTTAGGAACAAATCTTCACACACAGGTAAACCTTTATACTTAGGAACAAATCTTCACACACAGGTAAACCTTTATACTTAGGAACAAATCTTCACACACAGGTAAACCTTTATACTTAGGAACAAATCTTCACACACAGGTAAACCTTTATACTTAGGAACAAATCTTCACACACAGGTAAACCTTTATACTTAGGAACAAATCTTCACACACAGGTAAACCTTTATACTTAGGAACAAATCTTCACACACAGGTAAACCTTTATACTTAGGAACAAATCTTCACACACAGGTAAACCTTTATACTTAGGAACAAATCTTCACACACAGGTAAACCTTTATACTTAGGAACAAATCTTCACACACAGGTAAACCTTTATACTTAGGAACAAATCTTCACACACAGGTAAACCTTTATACTTAGGAACACATCACACACAGGTAAACCTTTATACTTAGGAACAAATCTTCACACACAGGTAAACCTTTATACTTAGGAACAAATCTTCACACACAGGTAAACCTTTATACTTAGGAACAAATCTTCACACACAGGTAAACCTTTATACTTAGGAACAAATCTTCACACACAGGTAAACCTTTATACTTAGGAACAAATCTTCACACACAGGTAAACCTTTATACTTAGGAACAAATCTTCACACACAGGTAAACCTTTATACTTAGGAACAAATCTTCACACACAGGTAAACCTTTATACTTAGGAACAAATCTTCACACACAGGTAAACCTTTATACTTAGGAACAAATCTTCACACACAGGTAAACCTTTATACTTAGGAACAAATCATCACACACAGGTAAACCTTTATACTTAGGAACAAATCTTCACACACAGGTAAACCTTTATACTTAGGAACAAATCATCACAGGTAAACCTTTATACTTAGGAACAAATCATCACACACAGGTAAACCTTTATACTTTTGACAATTCTATACACACAGGTAAATCTTTATACTTTTGACAATTCTATACACACAGGTAAATCTTTATACTTAGGAACAAATCTTCACACACAGGTAAACCTTTATACTTAGGAACAAATCATCACAGGTAAACCTTTATACTTAGGAACAAATCTTCACACACAGGTAAACCTTTATACTTAGGAACAAATATTAACACACAGGTAAACCTTTATACTTAGGAACAAATCTTCACACACAGGTAAACCTTTATACTTAGGAACACACAGGTAAACCTTTATACTTAGGAACAAATCTTCACACACAGGTAAACCTTTATACTTAGGAACAAATCTTCACACACAGGTAAACCTTTATACTTAGGAACAAATCTTCACACACAGGTAAACCTTTATACTTAGGAACAAATCTTCACACACAGGTAAACCTTTATACTTAGGAACAAATCTTCACACACAGGTAAACCTTTATACTTAGGAACAAATCTTCACACACAGGTAAACCTTTATACTTAGGAACAAATCTTCACACACAGGTAAACCTTTATACTTAGGAACACATCTTCACACACAGGTAAACCTTTATACTTAGGAACAAATCTTCACACACAGGTAAACCTTTATACTTAGGAACAAATCTTCACACACAGGTAAACCTTTATACTTAGGAACAAATCTTCACACACAGGTAAACCTTTATACTTAGGAACAAATCACTTTCACACACAGGTAAACCTTTATACTTAGGAACAAATCTTCACACACAGGTAAACCTTTATACTTAGGAACAAATCTTCACACACAGGTAAACCTTTATACTTAGGAACAAATCTTCACACACAGGTAAACCTTTATACTTAGGAACAAATCTTCACACACAGGTAAACCTTTATACTTAGGAACAAATCTTCACACACAGGTAAACCTTTATACTTAGGAACAAATCTTCACACACAGGTAAACCTTTATACTTAGGAACAAATCTTCACACACAGGTAAACCTTTATACTTAGGAACAAATCTTCACACACAGGTAAACCTTTATACTTAGGAACAAATCTTCACACACAGGTAAACCTTTATACTTAGGAACAAATCTTCACACACAGGTAAACCTTTATACTTAGGAACAAATCTTCACACACAGGTAAACCTTTATACTTAGGAACAAATCTTCACACACAGGTAAACCTTTATACTTAGGAACAAATCTTCACACACAGGTAAACCTTTATACTTAGGAACAAATCTTCACACACAGGTAAATCTTTATACTTAGGAACAAATCATCACACACAGGTAAACCTTTATACTTAGGAACAAATCTTCACACACAGGTAAACCTTTATACTTAGGAACAAATCTTCACACACAGGTAAACCTTTATACTTAGGAACAAATCTTCACACACAGGTAAACCTTTATACTTAGGAACAAATCTTCACACACAGGTAAACCTTTATACTTAGGAACAAATCTTCACACACAGGTAAACCTTTATACTTAGGAACAAATCTTCACACACAGGTAAACCTTTATACTTAGGAACAAATCATCACAGGTAAACCTTTATACTTAGAAACAAATCATCACACACAGGTAAACCTTTATACTTAGGAACAAATCTTCACACACAGGTAAACCTTTATACTTAGGAACAAATCTTCACACACAGGTAAACCTTTATACTTAGGAACAAATCTTCACACACAGGTAAACCTTTATACTTAGGAACAAATCTTCACACACAGGTAAACCTTTATACTTAGGAACAAATCTTCACACACAGGTAAACCTTTATACTTAGGAACAAATCATCACACACAGGTAAACCTTTATACTTAGGAACAAATCTTCACACACAGGTAAACCTTTATACTTAGGAACAAATCATCACACACAGGTAAACCTTTATACTTAGGAACAAATCTTCACACACAGGTAAACCTTTATACTTAGGAACAAATCTTCACACACAGGTAAACCTTTATACTTAGGAACAAATCTTCACACACAGGTAAACCTTTATACTTAGGAACAAATCTTCACACACAGGTAAACCTTTATACTTAGGAACAAATCTTCACACACAGGTAAACCTTTATACACACACAGGTAAACCTTTATACTTAGGAACAAATCTTCACACACAGGTAAACCTTTATACTTAGGAACAAATCTTCACACACAGGTAAACCTTTATACTTAGGAACAAATCTTCACACACAGGTAAACCTTTATACTTAGGAACAAATCTTCACACACAGGTAAACCTTTATACTTAGGAACAAATCTTCACACACAGGTAAACCTTTATACTTAGGAACAAATCTTCACACACAGGTAAACCTTTATACTTAGGAACAAATCTTCACACACAGGTAAACCTTTATACTTAGGAACAAATCTTCACACACAGGTAAACCTTTATACTTAGGAACAAATCTTCACACACAGGTAAACCTTTATACTTAGGAACAAATCTTCACACACAGGTAAACCTTTATACTTAGGAACAAATCTTCACACACAGGTAAACCTTTATACTTAGGAACAAATCTTCACACACAGGTAAACCTTTATACTTAGGAACAAATCTTCACAGGTAAACCTTTATACTTAGGAACAAATCTTCACACACAGGTAAACCTTTATACTTAGGAACAAATCTTCACACACAGGTAAACCTTTATACTTAGGAACAAATCTTCACACACAGGTAAACCTTTATACTTAGGAACAAATCTTCACACACAGGTAAACCTTTATCTTAGGAACACACACAGGTAAACCTTTATACTTAGGAACAAATCTTCACACACAGGTAAACCTTTATACTTAGGAACAAATCTTCACACACAGGTAAACCTTTATACTTTTGACAATTCTGTACACACAGGTAAATCTTTATACTTTTGACAATTCTATACACACAGGTAAATCTTTATACTTTTGACAATTCTATACACACAGGTAAATCTTTATACTTTTGACAATTCTATACACACAGGTAAATCTTTATACTTTTGACAATTCTATACACACAGGTAAATCTTTATACTTTTGACAATTCTATACACACAGGTAAATCTTTATACTTTTGACAATTCTATACACACAGGTAAATCTTTATACTTTTGACAATTCTATACACACAGGTAAATCTTTATACTTTTGACAATTCTATACACACAGGTAAATCTTTATACTTTTGACAATTCTATACACACAGGTAAATCTTTATACTTTTGACAATTCTATACACACAGGTAAATCTTTATACTTTTGACAATTCTGTACACACAGGTAAATCTTTATACTTTTTACAATTCTTTATACACATAGGTTTATTAATGTAAATAATGTAGACATTGGTTTTCTATATCAACTGCACATTTAAGTTTTTGATCTTTGTTGTTGAAAGAGAGAGAGGTGACAAATTTCAAGACAAATCTCAGATACTATGAAAGCTTACCTTGTAATTAAAGTGTGGTTCTTGGGCTGGAAAAGCAGCCAACTTAAACACAAATAATGATGTGTAATTACTTCTTACTTCACAAAAATTCTGGAAAGTTTTGTCTATTTGAAATCAATTAATTATTTTCCAATTTGTGTAAGAATAATAGTAAAACAAATTGTCCTGATTGAGTTGACATGTTACAATATACATGTATCTGATTCTGTAGATTTGTTTTGATAAACTTATTTTGTAGTCTACTTTTTATCCCGATTTTAAGTGAAATTGTTTGTAGATATGTGTCCTACACTAATACTTACTTGCCTTTTTGTAACTAAATAATTTAGATTTTAATACCCCAATGAGTTTTTTCCCTTTTGACTTAAGTTGTCTGCCCTTGTGTATTACAGAGACGTGTTGACAATAGCAGTGGTTGATGCTGTCACGTGTCTGCTGGCAGGATTTGCGATATTTGCTACTTTGGGTTACCTTGCTGAGAACCAACAGACAGATGTAACTAGTGTGATAAAACAAGGTCAGTTATTGTTGAATTGTCAAAACATTCATAGAAATTATACTTATTAGTTGGTTGCATGTTGTTAACTGATTGAGTACAAGTGATCAAGTCAACCAGCTTTAGCTCAAGTTTTAGCTTACTTGACCTGAAGGGCCAAGTGAGCTACACAGATACCGCGCCGCCCGAATCCAACATTAAGCATCAACTTTTTCTACAAATTGCTACTAGTCATCAACAACTGAATTGATTTTGTCAAAATTTTCATCTGAAGCATTCTTAAGTGAAGGGAATCAGTTTTGTTTAAACAAATGATCTGGCTCCTTGGAGTGAAAGGGGCGGGCCCAATAAGGGGAAATAGAACAAAGTCTTTGAAATTATTCCTCCTTTAGCAATGATTGGATTTTTGGCTAAATTTGGTCAAAAGTATTCTTTGCATCTCACTCTCTTTGGGAAAAGAGGCAAGGCCTGATAATAGTGTTTTAAATACTTTTTCCATTAGTTGAAGTTTTTTTAAGTTAATCATTTTTTTAATGTGCTGTGCCCTATGCATCATGTGTAAACTTTTTATTTTAAACCTTACCTGTCTTTCAGAGGGACTTGGGTTGGGCCTTAAAAGGGAAATTAGTCAATATTTTGCTTCAAAACACTACTTCTCTTTAATGCTTGAACGGATTTCAACCAAATTTGGTGTGAAACTTCATTGAGAGTGGAGAATCATTTCTTAAATTCAGAAATTTGATTGACCCCTAGATAATAGGAATGACCTTGATCCACTTAAAGGTTGCAGGGATCCAATATGTTAGAATCTCTTAATGACTTCTTTTCAATTACCAAAAGGCCAAGGATGATAATATTAGGCCTGTAGCATGTTAGGATGTAGGGCTTCCAACTTTGTCAATATGAATAACATTGACCTACTTTCAAGGTCACAGGTATCAAATGTGTTAAAATGTTTAATGACTTCTCAATTAGCAAAGGGCCCAGGGTGATGATATTGGACCAACTTTCGAGGTTACAGGGGTCAGATGTGTTGACATGCTTAAGCAACTTCTCATCAATAACCGAAAGACCGAGGGTCTTGATATTGGACCTGTAGCTTGCTTTTCCAACAAGCAATATGTGCGGAGTAATAAAAAATTTTGTAGTGCATTTAGGCTGTCGAGTAGTGGAGCAATTTATTTAAGGCCTATATTGCCTCTTCCATATATAGGTTTTTATAGTCAAATGATTGCTAAGACCAATGGGCCTCTTGACTGCAAAATAAACCAGGTGAGCAATTCAGGCCCTGTAAGCCCCTTGTTCTTTCTTGCTCCCCTGGTTGGAAGGCCAAGATAGCTTGTGCTGTGGCCTGTGGCTTATTGTCCATTTGTTGTCCAGCATTAACTTTCTCTTTTAAACAACTTCTTCTCAATAAACAATGGACCAAGTGTTTGACCTTGACTTATGTTCATGGTCATAGGGGTTGGATTTGTTAAAACCTTCTAATTACTTCTGTTCACGAACTGAAAGGCCTAGAGGTATGATATTTGGTTTTAATGTTTCTAAGATGAAGCCCACCAAATTTTGTGGAAAGAAATCGCCTTCATCTATATTCAAGGTCAAAGGGGTCAGATATGTTAAAACCTTTAAATAACTTTTCATGAACTAAAAGGAAGGCCTAGAGGTGGGATATTTTGCTGGAATCTTCCTCAGATGAAGCCTGACATAGTTAATAAAAAGATATGACCTTGACCTATATTCAAGGTCAGAGGGGTCAGATATGTTTAAACCTTTAAATGACTTCTTCTCATGATTGGAAAGGCCTAGAGGCATGATATTTTGAAGGTATATATATATATATACCAAGTGAGCACTGCAGGCCCATTGGGCCTGCCCCTCTTGTTTAATTTATCTTATAATCTTTTCTACTTGTTTGTTGGAGCGTATTTTGAAAGGTTAAACCCTAACTGATTAAAGATGTCATGCCTCTGTCATGTCAGGGTCATCACATCATGTAGACTCATTTTAATGAAATTCTTTAATACCTGGTATGATCACACCTCAAATGGATTAAGTATTTTCGGAATCAAAGTTCAAAATTAAAGTCAGTGTTTCTAGCATTCATGTCTTGTGTTTTGTGTTTTAAGAAGATATTGATAAATATTGATAAAGTGAAGGATGACAATAAGAGATGTGATATTAAAAAGAATCTAATTGAATGTTGTATTTCCTGTATAGGTCCAGGGCTTGTGTTCATAATTTACCCAGAGGCCTTCACAACCATGCCTGTCCCACAACTTTTCTCCATTGTCTTCTTCTTCATGCTTATCTGTCTAGGTATAGACAGTCAGGTGAGTTTCGTACTCGATAGAAAGACAGATTCATGATGAAAAATTGATAACTGACATAAATTACAGACAGATAAACAGATCACTGACAGATACACTGATTACTGACAGAATAAATTTGCTGCTGATGCTGCAAAATATCAGTTTCATAGCATGGTAAGATTTTTAGATTCATTTTTGTAAGAAAATAAAAAATTAAAAATGTTATATATTCTATCCTATGACAGCAAGATTCAAGCCATAGAAATGGTTGTTTCAGTTGGAAAAATCATTTTTAAGATGGATGCAGTTGAAATACCAACCTTTGACAGTTTAATATTTTGTTTTTGTCAGTTTGCATCTGTGGAAGTGATTGTGACAACCCTGAATGACCACTTTGGGAAACAGGTGAAGAAGTACCTTAAGCGTAAAGAGGTCCTGGTTTTCATCGTTTGTGCCTTCTCTTTCTTATGTGGACTGCCTAATGTGGCACAGGTGTGTAAAAACTGGGTTCTGCCATTTTATGGTAGGAATATAGTGTTACTCATGTCCCTTCACGTTCTATTCTGAATTGGTGTCATATTTTGAAAACCTCTCAACAGGTTAGGTTCTTATATTCCACATAGTAACACATAACCTTCCATCCATCCTTCTGTCCATCCCTTCATCTATCTAGCCTTCCACTATTTTGTCAGGACTGAATATCCTACACTACCTGCCATTGGAACTTTGGGGTATGGGTTTGCCTTGAAAAGGTGGTGTGTAATGTATCCGAAATTAGGTCACCCTGGCATATATTTTGACCTTTGACCTATATCACCATTCACCAGGGCAATTTGAGTGTAATTCTTGGATGAAGCACTTAAAGGTAGGGAGTCACTTGTCTGATCATGTGGGTTTTCTGCAGGTTCTCTGATAGGATGCCATTACATGTTGATTCAGGTCAAAAGTGATTGATATTAGGTATATACTCAACAAAAAAAGAAAGGTTAACATGTTTCCTTGGCGAATACCTGTAAATGAGTGAAAACAACTAACTTGTATCTTCGCTTGAATTTCATAAACATTCAAACTGACAACTGTTCCTTAGATCCTTAGGACTTAGAAATCACCGAATCTTGCTATCTATCAACTTTATCATTATGCCCCGGCTGTCACAAGCACAGAGAGAAAGGGCAGTAGGCATGATCCAGGCTGGGGAGTCTCGCCGTGAAGTTGCACGGCATTTTGGTTGCAGTGTTAAGACAATTTGCCAGTTGGTAAGTTGTGTAAACCAAACTGGGTCAACATCCGATCGTTCCCGAAGCGGCCGACCCCATAAAATGACCGCCAGGGATGACCATCGTATACGATTGATACACTTGCGCAATCGATTCGTAACCGCAGTAGAGACTACAGGGACATTGTTTGGGCGTCGTGTGTCTCCTCAAACAGTTCGCAACAGGTTGAGGGCCTACCAATTGAAAGTGCGGCGTCCCTACACTGGACCCAATTTGTTGCGACATCACCATAATAATCAGCGTAACTGGACCCGTGTTCACCGTCGTTGGGCCTTACGACAATGGAACAATGTTGTTTTCAGATGAGTCCAGGTTTTGTCTGCAACACTGTGACGGAAGGCGCAGAGTGTGGAGGCGACGAGGTTTTGCGAACTGCTGCGTCGCAGAACGGGACTGCTTTGGCGGCGGAAGTGTAATGGTTTGGGGTATTTGTGGGGGGACTCGTACCAGGCTTGTTGTGTTAAATGGCAATTTAACCAGCATTCGATAACGGGATGAAATTTTAAGACCAGTGGTTCTGCCATTCTTAAGACGCCATGGCGTTGGCGCCATTTTTCAACAGGATAACGCACCAGCGCACACCAGTTGCGTCAGCAGAACTTTCTTGCAGCAGAATAACATACAGGTGTTAGATTGGCCATCTAAATCACCTTATTTGTCACCGATTGAGCGTGTCTGGGATGTTCTTGAGAGAACGTCAAAATCAGCCGTCAAACTTGCAGGAGCTGGCCCAAGCCTTGATCGCTGAATGGAACAACATCTCTCCTTGAATTATCCGCCGGTTTACGAGTTCCATGCAACGATGCTGCAATGCTGTTTACTTCGCAAACGGTTGGCCATACCCGTTACTAATGGTGTTACCTTTGAAATTGACCCCAACGTCCTTTACAGTCGAATAAAATCAACTGAACGCAAAGTTTTATAATGAACCATGACTGCAGTTTTATCAGAATTGATCAATTACTTTATTCGTACATGATTGGTAAAGATTTATGAAGGGGTTAATTAATTAATCATAGAATAAAGTAGTGTTACCTTTCTTTTTTTGTTTAGTATATGTCTGGTTAACAGTTGTTGTATAATGAACACATTATCATGTCAGATGTGATCAGAGATATTGTATCCTTTACATAGTTTATTTGTACTTTTCCAGGGAGGACTGTATTTCTTCTCCCTCCTCGACCATTATGCTGCAGCTGTGTCTCTCATGTATCTCGCCTTTTTTGAGGTGATTGCCATTACATGGATTTATGGTATGTACACCACACTACCTAGTTACACAAACAGTCACCTCCATGACTGTAAGTACAAGGTGTTCATCCCCAGGCCTGTTGTCCTGTAGTAAGCCCATCTCCATTATGATAATTTGGATGTTAATTTTTCATCCCCAGGCCTGTTGTTCTGTACCAAGCCCATCTCCATGACTATAATCAGTTTTTATTTATTCGTTGCCCACGCATGTTGTTCTGTAATAAGCCCACCTCCATAACTATAAATCTGAGGAAATATGTTCGCTGCCACAGACTTATTTCTTGAGAAATGCAATTGTTCAATTATTGCTGGAGATGTTAAATATTTATTAATTTTGATGTGAATCATGTGGTTATTTCATTTATTTTAAACTTACACAGGTGCAAATCGACTTTCCAACAATGTTAAAGAAATGAATGGCAGCCGACCGAATCGGTTCTTCACTTTCTGCTGGTACTTTGTCTCTCCAATCCTGATATTTGTAAGTAGATAATGATATTACTTCAGAGACTGGTTTGCTCCCTGATATGTTGTACTTTTGTCTGAATAACATTCAACATTCTGGGTTTTAACGGTTTGGGCAACCTTTTGGTAGATATCAGCAAGTATGAAATGTAAATGTTTTGTTCATATGTAGAAACATGGGATTAAATGAAGAAAATTATTGAACATGGGAAAGAACTCAAGGTATGCCTAAAATTAGCCTGCCTAAAGAAAACCTTAATTTATGTTTACCAAGAACATTATCTCAACATGACTTCCATGGATTACAAAAATAACACTTGTACACAGTTCTCTATGTTTTGCTGATAGACAGATAAATGTGTATCTTGTAACATGAAGCAGAAAAGTTTAAATTCAAATTTTAAGATTCCGTTTTTTAAAAGTTAGAAATCGTGATGTAAAAATTCTTAATTCTAAGGATGGAAATGTGAAAAAATGGATCCCTCAACAATAAAGGTGATAGTTAAAGAGAATACTTAGTCAAATAGTCCAAATCCCAAAACTTTTGTAAGAAAAATACATCAATTTTTGCTTTATGCTTTTGGTCAAACCGCAAAAATTTGTGCCAAATTATAAAAAGGACTTTTTAAGTGTTTTGTCTGAAGTTCTCTGTAATTGTGTTTTATTTACAGGTTATCTGGCTGTTCAGTATGGTTATGTACAAACCATTCCAACTAGCTAACTACACCTACCCAGTTTGGGCCAGTGCGCTTGGTTGGTTCTTTGCATTGTTGTCGGTGATATGTGTACCTTTGGGCATGATTCACGCATTCTACATGGCCAAGGGAGACAACTTATGGCAGGTAAGATCAAAGACTTCATGTAATTTTGTATAAAGTAGGTATAATATGTAATGGAAATTGACAAGTTTCATATTCAACCCAATCAGTACACAGTGCACGTTTGAAAACAAAAGTGAGATGTAGTAAAGGAAATTTCACTCTAGTTACCCCACAGCCCGAAAGGTTGAGCATGCACGGCGTCCGTCCGTCCAAAATTACATACCGCTTATTATCTCAAAAACTACATCACCGGTCATCACCATTTTCACTGGGGATGTTGGGCCTATGGACCTATACAACCCATTCTTGAGATAACTTTCCACTCGCCCCAACCACACATTTCCAACTTTATAATAAGGCTGTGGAGTATTGCCCGCGCTTGCAGAGCTATTTTTTAAGACAATATATGATTTTGAAATAGGAATCTTTAAATCTTTCAGCTATAGATAATTTATAGCTGGGTATATTACTTAATGTTGGTATATAGGAGGCAATTTACAGTTAAAAGGGGAGATTATTTACTATAAATTCAAGGAAATAAGTTTTTACAAGTTTAATTTAATCTGTAATGGTATCCATCTTCGTTCCCTTAACGAAAGGATATGGTGCTTGAAGTTATAGGTGTAATGTATGGATCTATATAAAACTTTATAAATTTGATGTAATGTTTCAGAGATTCAAGAACACGCTGAAGTCTCCCCTACCTGACAGTGTGCTACCATCTAATACATCTTACTACACTGGTGATATTGTCATTTCAAACGGCAAAATCCCGGAGAAAGAGCCGCTGAATAAACCAGACCTTGATACGACTACGAAAGTTTGATTCCTGTGAGGGTGGCATATAGACATTGAAATCCATTTTCTATTTTTGTATTTTCATTTACTTTCAAAATATTTCACTTCTCAATATCACACATGCATATTAACTAATTTATTTTTGTCAAATCCTCCACATAAAAACCATTCTTCAGTGATGGAGAAATTCTGCAAAATTGTTATGTAGCTATTCCTTGAAAACGACAGCTCCAAGAACCTATATATAGCTCTGGTGCAATGTTCAGTTTATACAAATCACATTTCATACTTCAAAAGCACCAGAATTGATTTTCCTGTTTGGATTTTTTTCTTATTGTTTGATAATTTGGTGAAGATGTACTTTTATATTGCATTTTGTAGACCTAGTTTTCATCATTTGAGCTTGAGTTGAGAAAATGTTTTGTTACAACCAGTGTGACCAAACTTTGATAAGTATCTCATTTTACAATCAAACTACTGAGACTTGACTCCATCAGTTTAAACAGTATAAGGGAATTAGTAACTTATGTTACAATCAAACTACTGAGACTTGGCTCCATTAGGTTAAACAGTATAAGGGAATTCTGTAGGAACTGCTTGATGTTGAATTAATGTAGGAATCTTGTTGACATGCTGTAAAATCACATTAATTTCTATAGGGTACTTTTTTGTTGAATTTGTTGGTAATGTAGATAAAATTTATAAATTCACAACAGATATAAGTTGACATTATAGCATTAAAGGAGTTTGAAGAAGATTTAACCACGAAATCAAGTGCCAACAAAAACATACATATTTCTTTAAAAAAAAAACCCTGAAATTTGAGCTCCATGAAAATATTAAACAATGATAGATACAATGTGTACAACACTTTTATCTGAATCATGGATCGACAATTGGAGTTTACAAGTTTTTTGTTAGATATGTTGACTTTGTCAGGGACCCACATTGAAAGATGCAGAAGTCCTATAATTGTAATCATGATGTCTGTCGATCTCTTATGATTTGTTTCAGCACAGTATCTAATGTTCTGTTGCAAGTTTTTCTCTCAAACTTTCACCCGATGCTTCTTTGAAGAAAGGGCTTGTGTGGGAGTTATTTTTGGGTCATGGGGTTCAAAGGTCAAGGTCACTGCAAAATAATTCTGTTTAGATTATTACTTTCAAACGACCTTCATGCCTCCTTCACAGGAAATGTAAGCTCTCATATATGCTTTGTGTATTATATTCAGAGGTCAAAGGTCAATGTCACTTTACTAATTATAGAAATAGGAATATACCGTATCTGACTGTTGCTGGTAGATTATGAAATGATGAAGAAAATCACAGGCCAAGGTCATCAGGTCAAAAGTCAAGGTCTAATGTAGAGGTCAAATTTGAAATGTTTTAGTTGTAAATTTTTTTTTTCTGATATAATGAGGCATAATTAGTTGAGATCAAATGAAAACTCATCTGACTACACATCAAGGTCACGAGGTCAAAGGTCACAGACCAAAGGTCAAGGTCAAATTTGAATAATTAGTATCTCACAAGTAATTTTTTGTATTGATAAAGCAATGAATTTTTTGATAACAATGTAACACTCAGGTTTAGATTTGGCTACACTGGTGACTATTTCCTGGTGTAGGTCATTACTTTAAGTGATATAGCTTTCACAACATTAATCATCTCCAACATCATACAGAAAAACAAATTGTTTGGATCTTGTTTACCTTATGTTTTTTTAGTTGTAAGGTCAAGTTTCAATTTGTTTGTGAAGATGACATAGTATCGCATGTTTTTTTTATGAATGTAAATGTCCATTGCACTTAGATTTCATTTATTTGTACACATCAACCATTGCTTAAATGAAGTATATTTTGCAGAATTTTTTCATGTTTACACTTTGAGGATTTGAATATTTCACTTTTTAAGACTGACCACGAGACTGTAGTAAATGATTTTGTACGTTAACTTTAAAAAACCCATGTTCATCATCATTAAATATATACATTATTGACAGTATGATGTGAAATGATATATTTCAGTGGTGGAATCACTGTAAAGGGTGGATATTTAGTTACATGGTAAAAAAAAAGCATTCAGATTATTACTGTTTTGGCCCTCCTTTTCAAAATCCTGACTCTACCACTGACTTCTACAGTTGTTGCGCCAGTGCACCAAGTCATTTTATATATTTTTGAGAAACTGAGTTTGGAGAGATGTACAGTCAGTAGTGTCTATTATACATAGTTTAAGGCTGTTAATGACAAAATGAAAAATACATTTCAGTTCAGTTTGTTGGCCAGATAATAATCATTTTAAGTATATTATGAAACTTTACTTGAAGGTTGGTACGGGGTTTTTACATTTTATATCCTACAACCAGTCAGAAGTCTGTATGTTCATTGATACTTCCATCAATATTCACACTGTTAAATTACTGGGATTTCCACGGCTTCCTAGTAGACTTATTGAATGTTTTGAAATCATGAACAGTTTTTAACGACTGAGTAAGTCCGGATATATTTCAGCAAATGAGTAACCAAGGTAACAGCCAGGATATATTTCAGTATACAAGTAACGAGGGTAACAGCCAGGATATATTTCAGTATACAAGTAACGAGGGTAACAGCCAGGATATGTTTCAGTATACAAGTAACGAGGGTAACAGCCAGGATATATTTCAGTATACAAGTAACGAGGGTAACAGCCAGGATATATTTCAGTATACAAGTAACGAGGGTAACAGCCAGGATATATTTCAGTATACAAGTAACGAGGGTAACAGCCAGGATATATTTCAGTATACAAGTAACGAGGGTAACAGCCAGAATATATTTCAGTATACAAGTAATGAGGGTAACAGCCAGGATATATTTCAGTATACAAGTAACAAGGGTAACAGCTAAGTAAAAGCAAGTTACTATTTGATCTGTAGATGAAGAAAACATTAGTTTAAGAGTAAAACATTTCCACCATTTTCGTTTTTTACTACTTTGCTGATAAAAAAAGTAGGTCATTATGGTCCATTTGCATATTGTCTGTGACAAAAAAAATTCTAACGTTAAAGATTCTGCGATTCAATTATCTGTTTCTTTTGCGGAAACTTTTATCTGAATTGATGTTTGTGGACAGCTACAGGGTATTTACATTTTGTTTTTGGTGTTTTTTGTTAGTTAAGTACAAAGCAATTTTGACACAGGTTGTCAATTTGTATTGTTTTATTTTAAGATGTGACTCATCAAGTTGATTGAAAAACGAAACATTCAAATTATGTGACTTTAGATGTAGATATTTACAAACCATTATATACTTGATTTTTGTCTCCGAAATAAGGAAATATCCATACATTTCAAAAAATTATTTTTATTCAACTGGTTTGAAAAAAAGGAATTATTTAGGCATGGTATGATTTGCAATTGTTGTGTTTTGTTCTATATTTTTGTGCTGCAAAGACAAATGTTTTTGTACCTGGGTATGATGTATAACACATCCTAGTTGATTTAGGAGATGTACATGCTAGCTTACCCATATGGAAGGCAAGTTGTAGCCTTATGATTTACGTTGTGTCTTGAGTAAACCTTTGTATGATGTATATAAAGTGTGGTACATATGTAATTCATATTAATAAAATTTTTTGTTTATAACAATTTAGACGTCACCATGGTTACGTTTATGTAATTATGGGATTCGTTTAAAGAAACTGAAATTTAAAAAACAAAATGGTCGTGATGATTGTAAGAACTTTAAGTAAAGCTGGATCTTCTTTGGGGCTCTCTGCATGTATTCCTGACATGAATGTGTTCTGTTTTCATGTTCATGGTAAGAGGCGCCAATACAAGAAAATGTTTTTATTGCAAATTTCTCCCTGAAAGATCTCCGATCGTGTAATACAGAATTTATACAGTTCTGTAATTAAAATTTTTAATAGAAATATTTGCTCCACTTTGTTCATCATGTCATCTCCATAGTTTGAATGGAAACATTGTAACAGGTTTTTGTAAGTTTAATTATAACATGACAGAGTTGATTATGTCGAGAAGGACTCTGTATTTTCATATTCCTTATTTACAACCATAATGAGAAGAATATTGTACATATATCAACAACATTAAAGCTGTGGTGCTCATTTATTATATAAATAAAAGATATTTCCAAGCATGAAAAATCGGCATTGTAATCGCCTACAAACATATACCAGGTTGTCAGTGTTTGAATTATGTGTTGATTAAGTAGGAACTAATTTTTATTCGACCATTTTCATCATCTGCAAATAAAACATGTACTTGTTACCACTTTCCTTAAGAATAAATATTTATAAATATGTACTGCATAGTTGTATAAATAAAACTGAAGTTTGATCCATTATTCAATATGGCTGCGGTCATTTTAAATTCTGACTATGGAAGTTTGTCAAAGTTTTTACCCAAAAATCTGATAGATGTAAAACTTTTGAAACATGCTTAGTATTGGACCCAGTTGCTCAAACTCTCATTTGAGTCGGAATTAATTTAACTTCCGATGGTGTCTTAGTCCTGCTAAAACATCTCCTTTTCTCGTCGAAGAGTAGTCACACAAAAAGGTGACGAAACGTTATTCCAGTTATTTGACACAACAATGGTAACGGCAATAATCTGATTATATTTTGGTATGTTTTATATGCTTCAGGTTTTGTATCAAAACCAGCTAATTCTTAGGTTACCTGTTCTATGGGTCCATAGGCGTCTCGATATAAAATAGTTGTATTTAACGATACATGTATATTGTGATATATTTTTCCTAATTACGTATAAGTTTTTTGCATTATTTCTTCATTATCATTGTTTTTTTGGCTGATTACCTGTTACATACACTGAATGTAATTAGGTGTTTAGATGTATGTGGTAATCAGGTCATTATCTTAAGATGTCCTCACCGACTTAACTTTATAATGCGAGTGGAACTTTTTTTATTAGATATATGTATTTAGTATGGTATTATCCTCATTTAGTGTTCCGACTTATAGAACGGTCTTTTTATGAAGAAAAACTCATGTTTATAATCGTTCAAGAATTCATACAGATCAACTGGCAACTGCAAAGAAACTTCCAAATGTGTGCTTTAGGAAAAGTATTTCTTTCAATGAAGGGGTTTCAGAATTTACCTTGTCTTCAGTGTTTCGATCAAATCCAGAAATTTCTACTGAGCCAATCTGACTGTATTAGATAGATCTTAGACTAAATGTTTGCTTTATGGCAGCTATTTGTTATCAACTTGTCCAACATTGTACCACTCCATTTCAAAACTGAGCTTAAGAACGTTGCCTAAGCCATCATTTTATCACGTGTGGTACAATGTATTATGGAAAGGTAAAAAAATTCATTGATAGATCAAGAACCATAGAGTTTCATATCCTTTTCTCATAATTGAATTGAAACCAAAAGTTGGCATTAGACGAGCTGTCAGGAGCAATGCTGACTTTACAGCCAAGCATAGACCTAGCTAAATCTAGTATAATTTGCTGTAAAAACATCAAAATTCCTAGCCAACCCAAGACTAGGGGAGGTGTACAAGACATGTTGTTGTGAGGAGGTGTACAAGACATGTTGTTGTGTAGAGGTGTACAAGACATGTTGTTGCGGGGAGGTGTACAAGACATGTTGTTGTGAGGTGTACAAGACATGTTGTTGTGGGGAGGTGTACAAGACATGTTGTTGTGGGGAGGTGTACAAGACATGTTGTGTAGAGGTGTACATGACATGTTGTTGTGGGGAGGTGTACAAGACATGTTGTTGTGGGGAGGTGTACAAGACATGTTGTTGTGGGGAGGTGTACAAGACATGTTATGACTGGACTTAAATATTTAGTCATTTTATTGATTTCAACTTCGTTTCTGATCTACAATTGTAATGTGGAAAAATGTGTTATTGTTATTAATTATTACAATGCTGGCAGGTAAATTGTTTAGTACAATTGATTTGTATGGAGCTGAGACTGTTTAGAAAATTAAGTTAGCAATACAAAAGATTATGGCACATAATAAAACCATAATTGTTTATAAGCTTATTGATAAACATTGAAAAATTTGTTTAAAGTTCACTTTATACGGATAACTATTTTTTCATATCAAACTGTTTTGAGTTGTCAATTGACAACTTATTGGTGTTGTACATTATTTTAGAACAATTCATTGTTTTACAGAATAGAAATAAATATCTGGATATAACCAATTTCCTGTTATTTATCATCCTGTAACCATAAACTTTTCATCAGAAAGCCACAACATCAAAATGTATATACATATCTGTTATAAAATGATAGCTTTTTTCTCCCCAGCCCAAAATTAGATGCAGCAAATAACTTCGCACAAATGTATCAAAGTTGCAGAGCTAATCCCGTGTTCCAAAATCAACTGCAGTCTGCTACATGTACAATTCATCCCCCACTTCTGAAAAAATAGCACTAACAAGAACTCATGAAGGACAGATGGACAGATACTGGTTTATTTCCGATGGTGGGTTAGAAATATCATAATTGTTTCTCTGATGCCATAGGCAAGTTCCAAGATTTGAATTGTAGCGTCTTTAAATCTTGCTTTTGTCGATTTCATGGGGGTGATGAATCGAGTTGCGCTTCAGGCAAATTCAATGAACTATGAAGCAGTCATTGAAAACTGTCCTGTGGTGTGTTTGGTGACATTTTCAGTAGCCTATCTATGATCTATGGCATCAGTAACTTTGTCAAGAATCAGTTCTGTATCAAAATGATTCCATGGATACTCTTGGTCTAGTTTTCATTTACAGGCATTGGAAGGTTAAACTGTTTCTTAGCAGACAAATTTTGAGCAAATACCAGAACATGGAAAATAAACCCATTCTGCTTAAAATGACCATTATGTCATATTTTAATTAATTTGATATTCATTTTATGTATCATTTATCTTTCGATTTTCTGCAAATCTGGAGCAAATTTAATATGTGTGAGGGTTCTCTCCCCTTATATAATATGAAAAGGGTATGTTCATTCATCCAGATCAATGTTAATCTGGTCAAATTCACGCACAAATGAAACAGACTAAATTTGTTTTTTCTTTTTCTTTTTTAGTATAAATTGATTTATTTATTATAACAGAATATTACCGAATAATTTTCTGATGTTATTTTTTCAACAAAAAACAAAAACAAAAAATCCAATTGCAATGCATATAATTTCGATGCCGATTTATTATCACGAGCTGCCTTAAGAGTGAACAGATAATACATAATTACACTAGAACAGGATTCTCCTTCCATACACAATCATCCTGTAGAACATGGAAGGATTACCCTCCAAACATACCTTAATCCATTAATCCAGTTGTTCATTTCGAAATTTTCAATCATGCATATATACACATCCCATCTGGATTTCAGATACCCTGATTTTTCTTAAAATCTATTTTTAAAATGATATTGTAATGAAGTGTTGGTTTATTCACACACTATAAAATCCTGTTTCTTTTCTTCATTCATTAATCTCTGAAATACACAAAAGATATCCTCCAAGGCTGAACTGCTAAGTTAATTATCTCCCTTTAGGTGTTCAGTGGGCAAATAACATTTTAACCAAAGGGACGATGGCACAAAGACTGTATGATGGGCTGTCTGTGTACATGCAATAATGGCAAAGTTCGCCGAGTTGTAAAGACAGAGTGCCTTACTTAAAGGTTATCTGCCAAATGCAACCTTGCTATTGGCAAACTCAGAATCAACGTCGTCCAACGACAGTTGCCTTAACATTTCCTACATACTTATCAGCAGTTTATGTAAAATTCATCAATATTATTTCTAAATTTCATTTGACCATCACATTTGGATGACAAGTCCATTTTAACATGCGGGATGAAAGATTTCTTCTTTGAATTGAAACTGGCACATTTTTGAAGACACCTAGCTTACTACATCTCGAATCAATATCATTATGAACACCATCAAAAGCTGCCTTGTAGTAAAGTGTATAAACAAAATATATATTATCACATAATCATACTCATCTCATTCATTATCCATGCATAAGTGTACAATCAACAGACTTGAGGATATTTCTCACCATACAATAATACCATTTAGCGGTTATTTCCCAGGAAGTTTTTTATGATTGGGCAGTGCAACAACTGCTTTTGTAACAGCATGCCTTTTATTCTCAGCTAACCATAAATACAATATTTTCTCCTAAGGTGGAACTTGGAACAATGCTTTGTTATAGTGAAGAAGTGCGCATCCATGAATCTTCACATCAACACTCCTGTAGATACACTGACCATCCTTAAGCCTTCTTGTCAAAATATGGTAGCAAACATCCTCAAGTCTCTATGAATCAACTTTGTACATACCTCCACTTTGTACTTTGACACTGTGGAATCTTCCAAGTCACCATACAATTTTACCAGAGTGCTTTATTGAGGCATTACACCACATAACATATTACAATTTCTGTTACATACATCTGTTTAAATAAGGCCACTTTTGTTTTGTTTGTTGATTTTCACTCTCAACTCTCTTTATCTTTTTGATCTTAAATCAAGTTTTACTGTAAAAACTCACCATAGATCTACAAGATCTGTGACAGCCTACAAGATCTGTGACAGCCTACAGACTACAAGATCTGTGACATCCTACAGACTACAAGATCTGTGACAGCCTACAGACTACAAGATCTGTAACAGCCTACAAGATCTGTAACAGCCTACAGACTACCAGATCTGTGACAGCCTACAGACTACAAGATCTGTGACAGCCTACAAGATCTGTAACAGCCTACAGACTACCAGATCTGTGACAGCCTACAGACTACAAGATCTGTAACAGCCTACAGGCTACCAGATCTGTGACAGCCTACAGTCTAAAAGATCTGTAACAGCCTACAAGATCTGTGACAGCCTACAGACTACAAGATCTGTAACAGCCCACAGACTTAAAGATCTGTAACAGCCTACAGACTACAAGATCCTACAGACTACAAGATCTGTGACAGCCTACAGACTACAAGATCTGTGACAGCCTACAGACTACAAGATCTGTAACAGCCTGCAGATCTACAAGATCTGTGACAGCCTACAGACTACAAGATCTGTGACAGCCTACAGACTACAAGATCTGTGACATCCTACAGACTACAAGATCTGTGACAGCCTACAGACTACAAGATCTGTGACATCCTACAGACTACAAGATCTGTGACAGCCTACAGGCTACCAGATCTGTAACAGCCTACAGACTACAAGATCTGTGACATCCTACAGACTACAAGATCTGTAACATCCTGCAGATCTACAAGATCTGTGACAGCCTACAGACTACAAGATCTGTAACAGCCTACAGACTACCAGATCTGTAACAGCCTACAGACTACAAGATCTGTGACAGCCCACAGACTTAAAGATCTGTGACAGCCTACAGACTACAAGATCTGTAACAGCCTACAGACTACAAGATCTGTGACATCCTACAGACTTAAGATCTGTAACAGCCTACAGACTACAAGATCTGTAACAGCCTACAGACTACAAGATCTGTGACAGCCTACAGACTACAAGATCTGTAACAGCCCACAGACTTAAAGATCTGTAACAGCCTACAGACTACAAGATCTGTAACAGCCCACAGACTTAAAGATCTGTGACAGCCTACAGACTACAAGATCTGTAACAGCCTACAGACTACAAGATCTGTAACAGCCTACAGACTACCAGATCTGTGACAGCCTACAGACTACAAGATCTGTGACAGCCTACAAGATCTGTGACAGCCTACAGACTACAAGATCTGTAACAGCCTACAGACTACAAGATCTGTGACAGCCTACAGACTACAAGATCTGTGACAGCCTACAGACTACAAGATCTGTAACAGCCTGCAGACTACAACATCTGTGACAGCCTACAGACTACAAGATCTGTAACAGCCTACAGACTACAAGATCTGTGACAGCCTACAGACTACAAGATCTGTAACAGCCTGCAGACTACAAGATCTGTAACATCCTACAGACTACAAGATCTGTAACAGCCTGCAGACTACAAGATCTGTAACAGCCTACAGACTAATCAAATCTTATAACTACATGTTTCAGAACTGAAATTACATTCTCAAAGCTGAAATTGTGCTTGTGAAAATTTTCATGTTTGATGCATAACCTGTGGCTTTACCAAGACTGAGACATTTATGTAATATCCAGAAAGTAACAGTTCTGTTTAGCACAAGAACCATTTTGAGACATTTAACCTTTAGCATTCTCTTCTTCCTCTAAGAAAATGCAGTTATTTTAGATTAGACTATCCTGAGATTAAAATAATTTCTAGTGATAACATATTAACAGAAACAAACAAAATTGAAATTCAATGAAGGATAATGAAAATGATGACAATGCTAATTTAAAATGTAATGTTTATTGTTTGGTGATGATATGTATGTTATTTACGTTATTGCACGTCTTCCAAATATTGTACGATCCTTTTTCCAGCTTATTTTCTTATCTTGAAATTTAATTATATCGATCATCCAATAAAACACACAAGAATCTATTAATCGTAAAATTCTAACAAAAATACATGTGTTATAAAAATAAACATGCAGGGCCACAAAAAAAACGTTCCCTAGCAACAGAATTCGTCACATTCTATATATATATATATATATGGATAAGCTAATTCAAAACACTTATCAGATAAATGTATTCACCATACTTCTGTTAAGGTTTAATTTTTTAGTAATTTTAGTAAGGTTTCACTTTCAAACGGTTTCTTACATTATTCTTTTATTCAAAGTGAGATGTATGACGAGACTAATTGGAACATGACGACTAGAATTAGTAAGTAAATAGAAAATCCCGCACCATGTATCTCTACAACACTACCACCATTCATCAAACACCTGAAGAACCAATTACTAGCAACAGCAAACTCAAAAAAAAAGGAGGAAAAATCTGAACGAGATTCATTTACATTTAAAATAGTTAATATGTTTCTGAATCCTTTTATCTACATTTATTTAAAACAGAACAATATGATTATCTACATCCACTGCAATGATACAATTTCAAATTCTAACAGATTTGTCCTGAAATATGTTTCCATATGTTTGTCTTAAATTTCCTTTAGAGGTAAATCTAGATTTATACTTAAAACCTTACTTTGTCAAGATTACGAACATAAGTGTTTTTCAAATTTCTTTTTTTAATGACAAGAAAAATATTTTCATTTCACAGATGGCACTATGTAACACCTTGTCAACAAATCAAATTAAGCACACCAACAAAAAATTGTTTTGAGGTAAAAATGTTGATAAAACACTTATTAATCAGCACTTTGTAATCAACAAAAATATCTGGAAATTCTTTGGTGATACTCATAACATAGTATGAAAAATAAATAGGTGAAGACTTTTCAATGAAATATGAAAATTTGGTCCCGTAATCAAGGAGTATTGCTTCTTCAAAAACTTGGATAAGCTGAAGGTCATAGGTCATCAAGGGGTCATCAGAGGTCATGATCTGCCACGCTTTGTTTCAGGTATTCTGAATAAAGGCTTTGCTAAAAACAAAATAAAAAAATAATGAAAGGATACAGTTGTAGTAATATTTCATTACTGTGAACAACAACACAAGTGAACAGTGTTTTACTAATATAACACAGGTCTCTATATATGTACAGTGTTTTACTAATATAACACAGGTCTCTAAATATGTACAGTGTTTTACTAATATAACACAGATCTCTAAATATCTACAGTGTTTTACTAACATAACCATAACACAGGTCTCTATATATCTACAGTGTTTTACTAATATAACACAGGTCTCTAAATATGTACAGTGTTTTATATATCTATATATGTAGTGTTTTAATAATATAACACAGGTCTCTAAATATGTCGTGTTTTACTAATATAACACAGGTCTCTATATATCTTCAGTGTTTTACTAATATAACAGGTCTATAAATATGTAGTGTTTTACTATGGTAATACAGATCTCTAAATATCTCCAGTGTTTTACTAATATAACACAGGTCTCTTAAATATCTACAGTGTTTTACTAATATAACACAGATCTCTATATATGTACAGTGTTTTACTAATATAACACAGGTCTCTATATATGTACAGTGTTTTACTAATATAACACAGGTCTCTAAATATCTACAGTGTTTTACTAATATAACACAGATCTCTAAATATGTACAGTGTTTTACTAATATAACACAGATCTCTATATATGTAGTGTTTTACTAATATAACACAGGTCTCTAAATATGCACAGTGTTTTACTAATATAACATAGGTCTCTAAATATGTACAGTGTTTTACTAATGTAACACAGGTCTAAATATGTACAGTGTTTTACTAATATAACACAGGTCTCTAAATATGTACAGTGTTTTACTAATATAACACAGGTCTCTAAATATGTACAGTGTTTTACTAATATAACACAGGTCTCTAAATATGTAGTGTTTTACTAATATAACACAGGTCTCTAAATATGTACAGTGTTTTACTAATATAACACAGGTCTCTAAATATGTACAGTGTTTTACTAATATAACACAGGTCTCTAAATATGTACAGTGTTTTACTAATATAACACAGGTCTCTAAATATGTACAGTGTTTTACTAATATAACACAGGTCTCTAAATATGTACAGTGTTTTACTAATATAACACAGGTCTCTAAATATGTACAGTGTTTTACTAATATAACACAGGTCTCTAAATATGTAGTGTTTTACTAAGATAATACAAGTCTTAATACATCAACAAGCCTTACATTTCTCTCTCTCTCTACATATACTTATATATCTAAACAGTTACTTACTTTCTTGGCTTTGACTGTCGTGAGAACATGATCTTTTATTTCTCCAAGAGAACGTTTCTGTTTTCTAGATAACGTGGTTTTTGTCATCGAGGCAAACTTAGCGATGAGCAGCATTAACAGAGCAACTCCAAGGATTCCAAACAGGACATAAGATGAATATTCTTTAGGTATCCCCTCCCACACCGACACCAGTATACCCTGTGGGAATACAATTATATTACTCAAAATACTGAAAGCCTTGGAGATCATTATCAAATTTGAACAGATCACCAAACAATAAACTGACCATCATAAACAGTCTCTGCAAAAGAAACAGACAAAATAATCTTTTAAGACTAAAAAAAAAAAAAAAAAAGGTAATATTGACCTACATTTTCAACACATGACCTTGAAACCTGAAGTAAGAGTCAAGCTTTTGTTCTTTACGTCAATACAACTTAATTGTCACTGACCTACACTGCAGGACATGCATGTAATAAATAGTGAATTCATGACCTTAAATGACCTTGACATATGAAGTATTTTTCTGTGAAATTTAAAAAAAAATCTTGAAGCATTTTTTTTATGATAATGTAGCCAATATTTTTAGGTCAAGTATTGAGGGAAACCTGTATATTTCCAACACAGTCTAGATATAGTTCTGACATTTATACAAGCAACAAACATGTGACAAGAAAAATCTCCAGACGGAGAAGAACCAACATCTTGTTGAGGTTTATCTTCTAGGCTTCTGGAGGATACCTAGTGGTTTGAAGTGGTTTCTTAAAAAGTAGAAAACAACTAAAAAGTCACAAAGAAGAAGAGTAACTCCTGAAGCCAGGTAGGCCAACAGTTAAGTCTACTTTCTGCCCAACTATAGATGAATGTAGAATACAATACTGGTCTATCTGGCTTCAGGAGTCAAGGCTCTTCTGTTTATTTTTCGTTTGTTTCAACATCTTAGTCGAGATTCAACCAAGATTGGAAAAATTGATACAAAGTTGTATTAAACATGGCAGTGTTTTTTATGCATCACTTGCAGACAAGTAATTCAAAACTGCAAAACCAAAAGACATTTACATGCCTTCCACTAAATATCATATATCACGAGGTATTCACCAATGAAATTGTTGAAGTCTTTGATGCCTATATCCCTGTGGTACAAGGTCTCTAGATCTCCTCTACATCAATCTAATTTTACTGCCGTCTTCCTACTACATACCAAGTAACCGTAGATGGTGACATAAAGATTATTGCCCAGCATCTTCTTCACAAAGTCCTTTCTGGTGCTAAAAAGGAAAGTCGTCAGCAGTAGCATAGGCAGAATGAGTCCACAGAAACCACATGCAGCTCCACGGAACCGTGCTCGCAGGTTGTCTGATGCCTTCATGCTGGAAATTTAAAAAAATGTATCTTTACCTATTCTTTTACCAGCTTCTTTGGGGCTGGGGCTGGGGCTGGGGCTGGGGCTGGGGCTGGGGCTGGGGCTGGGGCTGGGGCTGGGGCTGGGGCTGGGGCTGGGGCCGGGGCCAATCAATGTTGGAACTGACATTAATATTTACTGAAGTTTTGAGAGGATTATTTTTAATTTTCATGCTGGTATGAAAGGAAAAACTGATTTGCAAACTGAATATGCATCAGCTAAACATGATATTCTTAGATAGGTGCAAAAAACAAAAATAATACATAAATGTATAAATTAGACAAGATCATGAGGGATTATTTTACAGCAAGTCAATACACGAGCTTGTGGGACAGGACGTGATGTTATTGACAGCTAATTCAATCATTCAAAATTCATTGGTATGTGGGCCCTGGCACATTTCATACTTCATGAAATGAAAAAAAAAAAAACACAAAAAAAAAAAATAAATAAACAGATCAGAAAGCTGCATTTTGCATTCAATGAAAAAGAAATTCGTTAACAATGAAGATTCCAAGAGTTTTCTGCAATTTTTGGACATATATGATATAAACAAATGATTGAAGATTAAAACTTATATAAAGTCCATGTTTACCTGTCTTCCTTAAGTTTAGTGGTGACCATGTCTGCGATCTGGTGACAGTCACGCTCCAGACTATTAAGTGTATTCTGTATCGTTTGGTTAATGGTCTTCTCTATGTCTTTACACACCTCCTCTATCTGGTTGGCACAACGACTTCCCTGCCAAAGTTGAAGATTATGTTTTGTAGGATTGCCATAAATAGAGAGGTGTCTCCAAGAAGCATCAAGTAATTGAAAGGAGAGGAGTCAAATGTCATTGTTATAAAAATAGGTCACTGCTGCTTAAAATTATCTACCAATCATATATTTGTCTGGAAGTGGAGCTACATTAACATGAAGTCTATACATATCACCTCAATGATGCAAAATATGATGACAAAAATACATGCCTAGGAAAATATTCATTTACCCCCTTGTTGTGAGGTAGGTAGATCTCAACCATTGGCTAAAGATGACTCAGTTGTAAACATTCAGCAAGCCTCGTGTTGGTCAACTTCATCAAAATATCATAATTATCTTTCTCCTTGTGTCGAGTTTTCTTATCTCACCTCGAAGGGAGTGAATGATTCTGTTAGTAAATAAGGGACTTTCTATGTGTTTCATTTGAAGCACATGTATCTTTTGAACTGGATCAAGTTCAATACCAGTTCTCTTGATCTTTTTCTTCATGAAAAATGGAGAAGTGAACCATCCGACTGATCTTATTGGAAAAAATTCAAATTTATCAAGGTGTATCGTGACTGATAATTCAAAACGAATCACAAATCCGATCAATGACTTGACAATAAGAAACACTATATCTCTGTTACTCGCATGAGGCTAACTATACATCAAACATGTAAATTATAAGCTTGGAAGATGGTTATCTCCCTTTGACTGCGGGTAAATGCTGTACCAGACAATGTAATTATCATAAAATGTCAATAATCTTGTCTGTGAGTCCCATTTAATGCTGGCTTGTATCCTACATTATGCACATATCCTTATAACATTCAAATAACGACCATTTGGGAGCCATTTTCCTTTTGTAGAATTTCTTTTCTAGTTTTCTAATTAAAGTAGCTTTTTAACATTTTTTTCAATCTTACCGGAATTCTGATCTTTTCAAATTATCAAGATTTTAAAAGTGGACAGGTTTAAATTTTTTTTTTCATAAAACGGCAAACTCAGCATAATCCAAAGTTTCTTGATTTTCGTTTTTTATTCCACTTCACTGAAAAAATGAACATTTAATTACGAAAGACAGAGTACCCTGAAATGATACGGACTTGGTATGGCTGAGATCACTACAGAGGTAAATAAATGTACTAGTATATAAGGTCCAGTAATCCAAGTAATTTCGATGCTGAGGAGATATTCTAATTTCTGCCTCAGAACATTACAGACAATTTATACGAGATAAAGGTAACCTCAAGGGAAAGTGTCATTTAGAAGTGGCCCATAGATCTGCTAATTTCTAAAATTACTGAATTTTTCTCTTGGTGAGATTGAAATGCTTCATAGAATAGCACATTCAACCAATTTATTATGATGTTCAACCTTTTTTTTTAAGGGGGGCGGGGGGGGGGGGACCAAACCCAGGTGTCTTGTACAGATCACCTTGTCATCATCACAGAAAATTTTTCACTGTGCCTCGTAAACTCAAATATGCATAAGTAGGGACCAAAGAAAACCTTGATATAGAATTTTGAGAATGATCCACCCAGAACTTCTCACGATAACAGTAAGCAACTACAACTGTCGTCATTGATGATATGGCAGCATGCCAGATGCAGGTGTCTTTCCTTTCAGTGTTATGTTGGGTTACGATGTCTCACCTTTGAGTTCATGTTGGGTACATATATTGTGGGCATGTCAAACCCAGTCCTGTTGAGTCCTGGTCGTTTACACAGTTCTTGGACAATCTGCATCATCACTCTCTAGAAACAGAAAAATGAAACTCTATATCATCTGGTGATTATGACAACTGCAAACAGACGAAGCTGTGGTTCCAAAGTTACTAATCATTATGATGATGTAATAGTGAACCTTAGGTAGAGATGATAGATATCTTCACAGGTAAAAATTTGTTACACAGGTAAAAATTTCTTATTTAAGAAATTACACATGTGCATTTTAAGGCAATCATTTTGACCTGGGTTTCATTACGCATTTCTTAATCATGATTTTCTTCAATCATAACATACAAGCAGAGGGTACAATTTATATTCCAAATTGAAATGTGCTACAGACTACAGTTTGCATTTGCCTAATTATTGGCAACATTATATAAGGATCAGATCTGGACAAAGAATTCCTTTGAATTTAGATAAATAATGTAGGAAATTCTTGATCACATCTTTGGTGACAAGGATTAGGAAATATAGGATATTATACCTAGATAACCATTTTTCCCAAAATATCAAATAGTCCTTTCCCCGAGTAAACTTTCATGCAAAAACAGCAGAACAGACTCCATCCATAAATATCCACATAAAACAGCAGAACTGAGGATCAGCATGCCAATCATGACTCTGTTGCTAAGATATGGAATGATTTATAACGAAAGACATTACCTCAACTGATTCCTCATCAGACACCTAGCACCAACATGAGTGACAATCTGGATGGGAAGTAATGTTTGTGGTAAACAGAAACAATAACCCATGTCACATCATAGCTGTGATAACTCTACTTAAAACTTCATCCATTTGGCCAACTATTCCTAATAACTTGTGTTCTCTATTCAGATGTATTTTCAGCTATGTGAAAGACTTTAATAATGAATTTTTTGGTGTTACTAGAAACACAAATGTATCTGACAAGGTTGGTATTTTGTGTTACTAGAAACACAAGTATATCAGACAAGGTTGGTATTTTGTGTTACTAGAAACACAAGTATATCAGACAAGGTTGGTATTTTGTGTTACTAGAAACACACGTATCTGACAAGGTTGGTATTTTGTTTTACTAGAAACACAAGTGACAAGGTTGGTATTTTAAGTTACTAGAAACACAAACACAAGGTTGTTAATACTAGAAACACAAGTATCTGACAAGGTTGGTATTTTATGTTACTAGAAACACAAGTATCTGACAAGGTTGGTATTTTAAGTTACTAGAAACACAAGTATCTGACAAGGTTGTTAATTTGTGTTACTAGAAACACAAATGTATCTGACAAGGTTGGTATTTTATGTTACTAGAAACACAGTTATCTGACAAGGTTGGTATTTTGTGTTACTAGAAACACAAACATCTGACAAGGTTGGTATTTTGTGTTACTAGAAACACAAGTATCTGACAAGGTTGATATTTTGTTTTACTAGAAACACAAGTATCTGACAAGGTTGGTATTTTAAGTTACTAGAAACACAAGTGTATCTGACAAGGTTGGTATTTTATGTTACTAGAAACACAAGTGTATCTGACAAGGTTGGTATTTTATGTTACTAGAAACACAGTTATCTGACAAGGTTGGTATTTTGTGTTACTAGAAACACAAACATCTGACAAGGTTGGTATTTTGTGTTACTAGAAACACACGTATCTGACAAGGTTGGTATTTTTAATAGAAAATGTCACCATGTAGGAGAACTAATTACCTGCAAATGCATCACTTCCTGTGTTCTGCATATAAATAGATACTGAACCATCATTATCCACCTACCCAATCCACTTAGGCCAGCCCAGATCAATACTTGGGAAGGCTTACTTTCAATAATTAGGGTTGATAGGGGGCGTTGAGTGTCTACCACACTTTACTATATATATCATATGTCCTAAGCATTAGGCTATTTCTTCACCTCTTCCACCCTCTCATTTATATCATATAAAAAATAGCACTGAATGGGTTCTTTCCAGACTTCTCTACCAATACTACCATAAATTAGGAATGACAAATAATAAACAAATGATTACTCTACCCTCCCCTCCCCCCTCCACCAGTGTCTTATAATTTCAGATGTGACATGTAATCATTTATTGTAATCTGCATTGCAGTTAACTTAAAGGTTCAATTAGATATTCATTAACGAAATGGTATGTTTGTTTACCAAAGGTGCCTTTTCTTTGAAGAAGTTGAGTGTTGAGACTGTAGCCTAGCTTGTTCAACACAGGGAAATAATAGAATGGATTACAAGGTGACTAATACTGGGTATAATGCTAATTTTGAATAATTGATCCTGATATTGGCTATTACTCAACAGTTACTGCTATGATGCCATTCATCATTGCTGACTGCTGTTTACTCTTAGTCTGCAGAACAAAACAAAGCATCTGATGAATGGAAAATTGCCATACAGCAACACATACAACTAAATTGAAACTCTCTGTGACCATGTGACCTTTATTATGACAAAAAAATAGGTAAAACTTTCTGTATGAAAGTCATCACATTTACAGGTGACCTTCATTTATAACCTCTCTACCAACTTCAAATGACCTTTGTACTAAAGCATGACCTTCACCTTTGACCATAGTACTGAGAGGTAATTTTAACAATGTTATCCTAAAAACTTCATGATAAAATCAAATAAGACTTACAGTTTAGTAACACTTATAAAACAGAGCCATAATTGTAATACTAAAACATTGGTGTTTAAGATGGACCTCTCCAAAAGTCTTTGAAAAAATCAATTTTCCATCTCAAACATCTATTGACATGCTGTGAGATGTCCCACAATATTATAGATTCATCATCCACTTGACTTATAAACATACCTGTCTGTCACTTTCATGTCCCGCCTCGTCTGCCTTGCTCAGGTAAAATCTCATTCTATCAGCATGTTTGTGACTTAGTTCTTCCACCAAGTTCAAAGTTCGCTTGCATAAAGCTTGTCCAATTGGATCAAAGAACACAAAGATCAGATCTGCTAAATCTCCTGTAGGCAAAGTAAGAGATCAGTATGAAAAAGCATCATTTTAAATGTTAATGGGGCTGATGAAAAGTTTTCAAGTACCATTTGTATTGATAAAATCAATATTTAAAGTGTAGCTTACCTCTTATTTTTAACAAGAATATATGATAATTATCACTGCATGCTTTTTCTCATGCCCCCTTCAATTGTTCCTGAAATGATCTAGACTACCACAAGACAAGTCTAGGTTTTAGAATATTGTAAAGAACAATACCTCTTAGTGAAGGACAATATAATGAGTAATTTAAGAGGATATAGTAAGATGACAGTATACCTAGCCATAAAATGGACTGATTGACATCAAATGGATACTTCATATCTCCATCTACTAAGCCAGGAGTGTCTACAAATGTCACCAGACTGAATCTTTTCTGCTTGGAAGTAGAAATTTCTGTGGTCAAGTAATCTGTGACACCTGTATTAAGAAGACCTTTTTTTTATTATCATACATACATTCAGTTTGTGAAATTTATCTTTGAAATCGTTCGTCATGCAATCAAAAATCATATTTATTATTTAACATTTCCTCACTGATTACCACAATGTATGTATTTCATCCATAAAACTATGTAACTCACATCCCCAGTCAGTATCATACTTTTTAAAATTCAACTTAAACAATTCAATTTTAGTAACACCTATTAGGTCGTATACTTTCAATTGAACTTCAAAATTGTACAAATGTAATAATGTCATGTTCAAAAAAATTTCAAATAAAAAAATACATATCATGAACATCAACAATGTAATTATTTCACGTTCAAGAAAATTTGCATACATTTTTTTTTTTTTTTTAATGGTTATAAAATCAATACTACTCCTAAAGTCAATGAATCCAATGTGTGTCAATATTAAACAGCACACACAGGTATTAAATTCTGATCCAAGAGGAATATCAAACAGAAGATTAGTTTTATGACCGAAAGTGCAGTTTTCATGCAGGTACAAATTTAAAAGAGATTTTAATAGAGCTGTCAGCTTTCACCACACAACAAACTGGTATGAAATGTTCCTGATTGCATAGTGTAATATGGAACTGACATTATCAACAAACTGATTCTCTGATTCCTCTCAGACCAGAATTCTGATTGTAAAGTGTAACCATTCCTCTCAGACCAGAATTCTAATTGTAAAGTGTAACCATTCCTCTCAGACCAGAATTCTAATTGTAAAGTGTAACCATTCCTCTCAGACCAGAATTCTAATTGTAAAGTGTAACCATTCCTCTCAGACTAGAATTCTAATTGTAAAGTGTAACCATTCCTCTCAGACCAGAATTCTGATTGTAAAGTGTAACCATTCCTCTCAGACCAGAATTCTGATTGTAAAGTGTAACCATTCCTCTCAGATCAGAATTCTGATTGTAAAGTGTAACCATTCCTCTTGGACCAGAATTCTAATTGTAAAGTGTAACCATTCCTCACAGACCAGAATTCTGATTGTAAAGTGTAACCATTCCTCTCAGACCAGAATTCTGATTGTAAAGTGTAACCATTCCTCTTGGATCAGAATTCTAATTGTTAAGTGTAACCATTCCTCTTGGACCAGAATTCTGATTGTAAAGTGTAACCATTCCTCTTGGACCAAAATTCTAATTGTAAAGTGTAACCATTCCTCTCAGACCAGAATTCTAATTGTAAAGTGTAACCATTCCTCTTGGACCAAAATTCTGCTTGTAAAGTGTAACCATTCCTCTTGGACCAGAATTCTAATTGTAAAGTGTAACCATTCCTCTCAGATCAGAATTCAGTAACCATTCCTCTCAGACCAGAATTCTGATTGTAAAGTGTAACCATTCCTCTTGGATCAGAATTCTGATTGTAAAGTGTAACCATTCCTCTTGGATCAGAATTCTGATTGTAAAGTGTAACCATTCCTCTCAGACCAGAATTCTAATTGTAAAGTGTAACCATTCCTCTTGGATCAGAATTCTGATTGTAAAGTGTAACCATTCCTCTTGGATCAGAATTCTAATTGTAAAGTGTAACCATTCCTCTTGGATCAGAATTCTGATTGTAAAGTGTAACCATTCCTCTTGGACCAGAATTCTGATTGTAAAGTGTAACCATTCCTCTTGGACCAAAATTCTAATTGTAAAGTGTAACCATTCCTCTTGGACCAGAATTCTGATTGTTAAGTGTAACCATTCCTCTTGGACCAAAATTCTAATTGTAAAGTGTAACCATTCCTCTTGGATCAGAATTCTGATTGTAAAGTGTAACCATTCCTCTCAGACCAGAATTCTAATTGTAAAGTGTAACCATTCCTCTTGGATCAGAATTCTAATTGTAAAGTGTAACCATTCCTCTTGGATCAGAATTCTGATTGTAAAGTGTAACCATTCCTCTCAGACCAGAATTCTAATTGTAAAGTGTAACCATTCCTCTTGGACCAGAATTCTGATTGTAAAGTGTAACCATTCCTCTTGGACCAGAATTCTGATTATAAAGTGTAACCATTCCTCTTGGACCAGAATTCTGATTGTTAAGTGTAACCATTCCTCTTGGACCAGAATTCTGATTGTAAAGTGTAACCATTCCTCTCAGACCAGAATTCTAATTGTAAAGTGTAACCATTCCTCTTGGATCAGAATTCTAATTGTAAAGTGTAACCATTCCTCTTGGATCAGAATTCTGATTGTAAAGTGTAACCATTCCTCTTGGACCAGAATTCTGATTGTAAAGTGTAACCATTCCTCTTGGACCAGAATTCTAATTGTAAAGTGTAACCATTCCTCTCAGACCAGAATTCTGATTGTAAAGTGTAACCATTCCTCTTGGACCAGAATTCTAATTGTAAAGTGTAACCATTCCTCTTGGACCAGAATTCTAATTGTAAAGTGTAACCATTCCTCTCAGACCAGAATTCTGATTGTAAAGTGTAACCATTCCTCTCAGACCAGAATTCTGATTGTAAAGTGTAACCATTCCTCTCAGACCAGAATTCTGATTGTAAAGTGTAACCATTCCTCTCAGACCAGAATTCTAATTGTAAAGTGTAACCATTCCTCTTGGATCAGAATTCTGATTGTAAAGTGTAACCATTCCTCTTGGACCAGAATTCTAATTGTAAAGTGTAACCATTCCTCTCAGACCAGAATTCTAATTGTAAAGTGTAACCATTCCTCTTGGATCAGAATTCTGATTGTAAAGTGTAACCATTCCTCTTGGACCAGAATTCTAATTGTAAAGTGTAACCATTCCTCTTGGACCAAAATTCTAATTGTAAAGTGTAACCATTCCTCTTGGATCAGAATTCTGATTGTAAAGTGTAACCATTCCTCTCAGACCAGAATTCTGATGTTAAAGTATAACCATTCCTCTTGGACCAGAATACAAAATGCTACAGTGTAACATTCTTTTCAGACAAGAAATCTAATTGTACAGAGAAATATTCCTTTCAGACCAGAAGTCAGTAGAGCATCATCCCAAATATTGCATTAGGAGGTCTTGATTTTAGTATTCTACATCATGTCATGAGTACTAAGATGTTTGCATTTAATTTTAAATTACTCTCCCATGGTATTTCCAGGAATTAGAATCTTCTAAAGGTCACATTCTACACCTCCATCCATCAATATCAACAAAAAAAATCAAATTTCTCATTAAATGTCACATACAGCCCACCAGATACATCTTACTTTCATTTTTTAGGTTCATGTATCATGATCATGACCTAAGCTGTGTATACCCAATGAGAATATTGATGAATTTCCATCATACCTGTTTGATATACTCAATCAGCATTTTTCTTACCGATCCAATATATTATTTTAAAAAATGTTTTCATAATTTTTTAACAAAAGTAGCTGTGATTTTAAGAGCAATAAAGTAATATAGACTGACTTTGATATTTATTGATTTATCAAACTTATGTTTATTGATTTATCAAACTAATGTTTATTGATTTATCAAACTTATGTTTATTGATTTATCAAACTAATATTTATTGATTTATGAAACTGATATTTATTGATTTATCAAACTGATATTTATTGATTTATCAAACTTACATTTATTGATTTATCAAACTAATGTTTATTGATTTATGAAACCGATATTTATTGATTTATCAAACTGTTTATTAATTTATGAAACCTATATTTATTGATTAACCAAACTGATATTTACTGATTTATCAAACTAATGTTTATTGATTTATGAAACTGATATTTATTGATTTACCAAACTAATGTTTATTGATTTATGTAATTGATATTTATTGATTTATCAAACTAATGTTTATTGATTTATGAAACCGATATTTATTGATTTATCAAACTGTTTATTAATTTATGAAACCTATATTTATTGATTTTTCAAACTAATGTTTATTAATTTATGAAACCGATATTTATTGATTAACCAAACTAATATTTATTGATTTATGAAACTAATATTTATTGATTTATGAAACCGATATTTATTGATTAACCAAACTAATGTTTATTGATTTATGTAATTGATATTTATTGATTTATGAAACTGATATTTACTGATTTATCAAACTAATGTTTATTGATTGATGAAACTGATATTTATTGATTTATCAAACTAATGTTTATTAATTTATGAAACCGATATTTATTGATTGATCAAACTAATGTTTATTGATTTATGAAACTGATATTTATTGATTAACCAAACTGATATTTACTGATTTATCAAACTAATGTTTATTGATTTATGAAACTGATATTTATTGATTTATCAAACTAATGTTTATTAATTTATGAAACCGATATTTATTGATTTACCAAACTAATGTTTATTGATTTATGTAATTGATATTTATTGATTTATCAAACTAATGTTTATTGATTTATGAAACCGATATTTATTGATTTATCAAACTGTTTATTAATTTATGAAACCTATATTTATTGATTTATCAAACTAATGTTTATTAATTTATGAAACCGATATCTATTGATTAACCAAACTAATGTTTATTGATTTGTGAAACTGATATTTATTGATTTATCAAACTAATATTTATTGATTTATGAAACTAATATTTATTGATTTACCAAACTAATGTTTATTGATTTTTATTGATTAACCAAACTGATGTTTATTGATTTATGTAATTGATATTTATTGATTTATGAAACTGATATTTATTGATTTATGAAACTGATATTTATTGATTTATCAAACTAATGTTTATTAATTTATGAAACCGATATTTATTGATTAACCAAACTAATGTTTATTGATTTGTGAAACTGATATTTATTGATTTATGAAACTAATATTTATTGATTTATGAAACTAATATTTATTGATTTATGAAACTGATATTTATTGATTTATGAAACTGATATTTACTGATTTATCAAACTAATGTTTATTGATTGATGAAACTGATATTTATTGATTTATCAAACTAATGTTTATTAATTTATGAAACCGA